AATTCTTTAGTCTTCCCCCTTCTTCAGAAGATAACCAATCTTTTTTCAGGGGAGCAGAGGTTAAGAGGGTAGGAATTAGTGTTGATAAGAGCAAAGGAGCAATGATGTGATGGGTAATACTAGCTTGCCTTAAAGAAGGGGAAATGTTATGTTTTGTCTGATATGCAGTGGTATGAAAATAATTTGTCTTTAGGTTCTAGACCCAAGGGTAACACAGCAGACAGGGCTAAGACTTTTTCTGTTTAAAGCTGTCTGAACTAAACCCACAATAGTCTTAGAAATAAACCTAGGAAACAGTAAAGGAATATTTAATACAGCAGTTGAAGAAGCAGCAGGCTGATATTCAAAGCAAGTGGATTATCATTTCACTGCTGGAAATAGGTAGGAAAGCAAGGTGATGTTAGACTCCTCAATATAACTACAGGAAAGACACAGACTTTTGAAAGCTACTTTATGAAGCTCCCTTTAAACAGATGTAATTCTAAGGAAAAAAACAGCTATGTATTAAGGAATTAAACTGTTTACATTTACTATATATCTGTCATACTGATACCTTCTCAGTTGCCCTATGAATCTTTTTCATTTGTCCATGTATGATTCTTCATGACCAGCTCTATGCAAAAGCTTTCTAATTTAGGGCACTTGTTTGGCTATCTTGGACACTAGTGTTCATCTTGGAGCAGGCAACTCCTTTTTACATGGAAATCACAGATTTCTTCTTCACACACATACGCTGAGCAGCAGTTTGAAAACCCAGATGTTCAGGAAGGCTTTCTGCAGTGTGCCATCTCCTGCAGACAGCCAGAAGTAGCTGTGCATGGAAATGACAGTGGCCAGGTTAAGCATGTGCTATGGGCAGGACATGATAGGAATGAACACACAGGCACATGGAGGATAGCTTTGGGAAGATGGGGGGACAAGTGCAGGAACCCCGTGTTTTCAGTGACATCTCTGTACAGGGGAAAATAAGGGTTTGTGTAAGATAGGCAGTGATCTGGTGGGAACACTCTATAGAAGTGTTCAAAAAAATGTGAAAAAAAGATGAAAAGATTGACATCCAGATGATTATTTATCCTGCCTTAGGAGGAATATTCCTTTATATTTATAATCAAATGCTGGTTTAATTGAGTCAGGGGTTTAAACTTTGACTCAGCTATTTATGTACAGAAAGGGGCACTGTGTGTTATAAAGGCACATTTTCTGGTGGGTAATTTGTAACGCTCTCATCTTAAATGTACCCACCACAAAGTCATAGGAACCGCAGCTGTTGGTGGCAACAGAGCCACTGCTTTCTCTGGGTTGCCTTCCTTGCTCTGAATTGGATGTTCCAAAAACTTTTAAAACACAGTTTACACACAGACACAACTAAGCTTTTTTTTCTGTGAGCAGATGTTTTGCAGTGTATTTCCCTGTCAGGAACAGAGCAGGGTTGAAGGTGCATGTGTCTGAAGGTACACACAGTCAGGTCTTAGCCCTCTCTGCAACCAGGCAATCCTGGGATGAAATACCTAGCACTGAATTCTTCATAAGGGTCAAAAGAATTCAGCATGTTCAAAGCAAGACTTGAATTTGTTCTTTGATACCTGCAGAGGATGTCTGGTCTGACTGCTTTTTACCATCCCTTGAAAAACAAACCAATGAAAAGTGGCAAGCATGAAAACCTGCAGGGAAACTTCATTTAAAAACCCAGAGGGATGGAGAGAAGATGTGGTAAGGCAAAATGCAAGTGAAAACATGTAATGGGACAAAGGAGACTTAGAGATAACTATGTGTAAGGTAGTTCATCTGAAGCTGGATGATGACGCACAGTGCATGGAAGGATTGTAAAAACAGATCAATTCTTCACTAAAACTCTTGTGCTCTTTTGCCATTAGAGGACTCCCAGCTAACATATCTATCTTACAAACAAAGAAATCTCACTAATGGAGAGATGTTTGAGGTGGCTTCACCTCCCTACTCAGGATGGATGGCTGCAGCTCTGGGTGCCAGCTGCTGTGCTTCTCACTGCAAGCTCCCTGTGTAACCCATGGGTTTTAGGAGGTGATTCACTGACCTGTTTTAGGTCCTGTGAGGCAGGACAGAGTGAGGGTAGATCTCAGCCTGCTGGACTCAGGGCTGCTTTTAGGAGCAGTGTCACTATACTCAGCAGATGTTTCAGGGCTTCATTTGGATGCTCACACAGAGACGGCTGGTGCCACCTGAGATGCTCTAAAGCTTCTGAGATGTCCACATGGTCAAGCAGATGTTACAGAGACCATGTGGGAGACACGTGCCCTTCTGGAGTAGCAGCTGGGATATTCTGGTGTATCTCCATTGGCTCTGAGTATCTACTTGAGGGATACTCAGACGTGCTCTTACTCTCTCCTTATCACTTGACCTTGATGGAGCAAACTGTGAGAGGTGATTGATAAAAATAGAGGAGTGCCTGGAAGAAAGGAGGAGTGCTGTGTACTAGGGTTGTTTTCTGTCTACGGTAGGAATGATCTACACTGTAGTGAGATCGACACTTACAGCTACTCAGCTTTGAAGCTAACCCACAGGAAGAGATAAAGGTGGACAAAAGAGTGGCATCTGTGCCTAGGATAAAGCTATAGCCCTGCTTTTCTGCGTTAAATGTGCTACATTACTGATGATGAGCTTTAGCCAGTCCTCTGTGCCCCATGGGCATGAGAAGTGCCACAAGGAAGGGTCTTTCTGAAGGGTGGCTGTTTCCTGTCACTCCTCTGGAAAGGGACAAGCCCAAAGATCTGGTGCTCTGTAGGAAATAAAATACTTTGAGAATCTGTGAACTTTTGGGGTTTTATTCATTTCCTTTGCTTCTTAAGTTGTTTGCAAAGAAGTGGTTACCTGAGAGGAGCTCCCTGGGAGGAGAGATGCAGGGCTGAAGCTGGGGCAGTAGAGCAGAGGCCGTGGCACAGGGAGCTGTGTGGGGACCAACCTCTCACTGGTTTGCTTTGCTCTTTGTGCCAAGAAAAACCCAGCACTGGGCCTGAGGCATCTGAGCTATTTGCATCAAAATGATCTGACAGTTCCTCTTGAAATGAGATGGTATGAACAAGTCTGTGGTTTCCAACCCAGCTATTTGAGTCATGTCCTTGATCCTGGAAGCTGAAACACAGGGCAATTGGTCTCCAAACATTTACAGTTTCTCAGATGATGTTCTTGGCCTAAAGTTTTATTCCTATTCCAAGCTAAACCCAGGAACAATTTTTCTCTTCCAACCAACACAAATTTGCAGGTGGCTGAACTACGTGAGCTTCAAATGCGGAAGATAGAGGGATGATTTGGTCAGAAAGTAATATTTTTACTCCTTTTCTGAGAGCCTGTGTGGTGAGGCTGTAATCAGTGTAAAAATTGAACAAATACATTGTCATTATGCCTGTGTGAGTTTATGACAAGTAATTATTTAAGATTGGTAGATATAGAGAAGACAAACTGATAAGTAGATAGAAGGAAAGAGAGAGAGAAAGAGGGAGAGTGAAAGAGAGAAAGAAAGAGAGAAAGGGAAAGAAAGAAAAGAAAAGGATAGAGAAGAAGAAGAGAAGAAGAAGAGAAGAAGAAGAGAAGAGGAGAGGAGAGGAGAGGAGAGGAGAGGAGAGGAGAGGAGAGGAGAGGAGAGGAGAGGAGAGGAGAGAAGAGAAGAGAAGAGAAGAGAAGAGAAGAGAAGAGAAGAGAAGAGAAGAGAAGAGAAGAGAAGAGAAGAGAAGAGAAGAGAAGAGAAGAGAAGAGAAGAGAAGAGAAGAGAAGAGAAGAGAAGAGAAGAGAAGAGAAGAGAAAAGGAAAAAAGAAAAGAAAAGATAAAAGAAAAGATAAAAGAAAAAAGAAAAGAAAAAAGAAAAGAAAAGAAAAAGAAAAGAAAACAAAACAAAAGAAAAGAGAAAGAGAGAGGAAGGAAGGAAGGAAGGAAGGAAGGAAGGAACGGAGGGAGGGAGGGAGGGAGGGAGGGAGAAAGGGAGGGAGGGAGGGAGGGAGGAAGATGATTAGAAATTAAAGATAGATACAGAAGTATATCATGAGTTCTTTAGTTTTACTAAATTCTTCATGTGTACAATACATAAAACATTTCAGAGACAAAATGCCTCTTCCTTTCTCAGATTTCCCTGAAATAATACCATTTTGGAAAAAAATCCAAACCAAACCCAAAACTTACACCAACAACAAAACCCCTTAAAATCTGTAGCAATTGCGATTCTGAAACATGATCTCTTTATTCCACCCAGCTCTGTCCAAATTGAATTTATTAGTAGTAGTATTATGTAGCCATATTCTGAAGCCAAGCCCAGAAAAGATTGGGTTTGCAGGTCTCCCTGCAGTGCTTGATGTGAGCAGCTGCCCCCGTTGCTATGTCCTGACCAGCTCCCAGAGAAGGCTCTTGTGATACTTCTGGGAGGTCAGGCTTTGTCTCATGCAAAATGTGAATAAGGTGATCCAAAAAACCACAAAGATTTCACCAAATTTTAGCCACCTTTATGCATCCTGGCTAAGTGAATATTTAACTTCCAAGAGAGGCATTTGCCTTGGTCACCCACACCCCAGTTCCAGCTGAGATACTTGGGTCTCTAGACATCTGCGAGTGGCTCTCAGGTAGGACAGAGGACATGTACCACATTGCATCTGGAGGATGGGCAGGATGCTTTGCTGCATTTCAAATGGCACTAAATGCTCCTGTCTAGGGTAGACAGCTGGATCTTCATAAAATCATAGAATGGTAAGGGTTGGAAAGGACCTCAAGATCATCTAGTTCCAACCTGCAGAGCCCAGTTCCAATCTTGCCCTGAAAGGCAATGCCTCCCACCTGCCTTAGTCATCTCTTTCACAGCGGGCTGGGGGAAGGATGACTCGTCCATCAGCTACGTAGTTTGATGCCTGTCCCAGAAAAGACTGCTTTTTGGTGGTTCAAGCTAGACACTTTAACTCTGTTTTCTGTGTTGTTCCGTGTCTCTTCCTGCTGGAGCTAGTTTGAAGTCCTTTAGGTCACACAAAACAAGACAGAAAATCACTTCAGAATGACAGTATTTAATATTTACATATAACAGAGAGGCCAGTGATCACACAGTCGGCAGGACAGAGGTGTCCCTGTAAGCATGCAGACATGACACTGAACATCCCCAGGGCAGAAGGCTTGGAGCAAGCAGATGGCAGCAGTACAGTGCATGTACTTTTCCATGCTGGAACTGGTGTGTGCCACTGGGTACAACTCCCTCTCCCCGTGTTAGCACAGCCTAAACTGGCTCTATCATTGAGATGAGGGTCAGGGAGGCAAGACTAAAGGATGAGGGCAGGGCTGGTGTTTAGGGACCATGAAGAGCTCATAGAGCACCTCTGCTGATGAAGGAGTCTGTCTGTGCCTGAGTGCATGATGAATATCCTTGCTTCTAGCTGCCTCCTTGAGTCTTTTCCTGGTTGAATCAGTTGGCTTTATTTTGATGTCTGCTTTATATCGTAGCACTGCCCAGGCTTCACTGCTGACAATGGGCATGAGCCATTTAAGCCACTTGGCAGGTTTGGGTGCTCCTGGCTACGACTGCAAACTTTGACAAGTCTTATGCATCTTTTTCTTTTACAAAAGGTACTTTTAAGTTTTATACGTCAAATTTCCTGCTTTAGGGGTGAAGCGATACTCCAAGGCAGAATACTTGTGCTCCTCATCTAGCGCAGCTGGCGTTTTCTTCCCCATTTTGTGCAAACGGGACACTAATACAAAGCATTTTCTGTGCTGCATTAGAGGACAGCACAGCCACGTGTGTCCACATTAGCTGTGCTCAAATAATTTGCTTCTATGCTACAATGCAGAAATGTGAACAACTTTTGACTGAGAAAAAATCAGTGTTTCTCTGTGAAAAATGGACTCCAAGTGCTTAAAGTATATTCAGATTTTCATAACTGTGTACGTGCATTCAGGATGGATGAAGGTTATCTTACAGTTTGGCTGACTCAGTGGCATGTCCAGGAATCAACCTCTGAGGAAGTCGCTGAAATGATGGGGCTTCTGAAATTTGCCGGTCATGGACTTTAGTGTCAATGCCTTGATCTTGAGTAGTGATGAGGAATTACACAGTTCCCACTTGGGATTACTGTAGCTGTAACACCAAGACTGATGCAATCTGTTGCCTTTCCGATTGTATCTCTTATTTGCTACTAAGCTGCACATAATGACTACCTTTATTGATTTGATGTTTATCTTGACTAGTTAATTGCTTGTCCATGTAATCTATTCTAGAACAGCCCTACAGACCTTTGTGGAAATCAGTGAAATTCCTATGCAGTCTCCAGTGAGCAAAATTGGTGGTGAGGTTCTCGACTGTTTCATGAAACCAGACATTTCTAAACTTTTGCTGCAACCCCTATTGTCTATACAGATTCAAATGCCACATCTCTTAGATGATTCTGAAGAACTGATTTAGAAGTGCACTGGACTTCGTCAAATACTACAGCAAGCCACTGAATGGGCACAAGAGGATTTGCCTCCAGAGTGGCTGAAAACTATGCTTCGGTTGCCTGCCTCTGTGGTGTTACATATGCCTTCAATATATTCCATGCACACCCTAATTTAAATCTGGAAGTGCCCAGTTAGCAAGTTAATAGCAACAGATGGGTGAGCTCATGGGATTTTGGGAGGACAGGAGGTTATTTAAATCCAGCCAGAGAGCTTCTGCTTGGTGAAGCTGATAAATGTGTACATTAACAATGGTTCAGATTCCCATATACACAGGGGGCAAGTGGTGAGATTTATATGGGTACTGTTGTGTTTTATGTGCAAGTATAGCAGTCAGGACCAGACAGATTGGTGGTTTTGCCAATACCTACTGAGATCTAGTAGATATATTTAGAGAGATGAAAAGCTGCAGTCTCAGGTCTAAGTGATCCAGACCTTTTCCACCCTGACTCCTTTATCAAAAATTCATTTCCCTCCATGAAACTCCTGACATTTTAGGTTTTCTTTGTTGTCCCCCTCATAAATACATCACAGTGCACTATCCTTATTGTGTGTGAGTTGGCAGCTCAATGCTTGTCCTGTAGGTCACTCACATTCCAGAAATAGTTGTCTGAAAGGCAATGAATGAAAGATGGTTAATTAATATTCCAGGGGATATTAGACTTCCTGCAAGCATCTTGTATAGTGAAAATAAATAGTGAAAAGAAAGCAATGATGATAAATAAAACTTAAAAGAAGTTTCCTTCCATTTTCTAAAATGACATTTTTACTACTGTTGACCAATTATAAACCCCTCTGCTTCTCATCCCTCTCTCAGATGCCAAAAGCCATTACCCGTCATCAAAAAGGCTTCTTGAATGGGAACATAACCATGCAACCAAGCATGTCAACACATCACGCTGCTCCGCTGTTTTGAAATATCTGAGGACCAGGTTATCCCTGACTGCAGTGTGATGGAGAGACAGTGCGCAAGTGCATCTGTACTGCCTCAGCTCCCTGGAGGAGCTCATTCAGGGGCTGTGCTGATCTCTCTGCTCATGTACCCTTACCAGAGCCTGAAAAAGGAAAATGGTAAGAACGTAAAGTACTCTGAGATCTTTTCCTGCTCACCAACCTTTCTTTTCCTCATGCATGTGCCACATATGAAGCCAGTGAGTCCATTGATGACTTGAATAAAACAAAGAATAGCCTCAATCACACCAATGGCCAGGAGAATAGAGAAAAGGATGATATTCCAAAGGATGATGTTTTCAGGTTCTTTGCAAATGCTCCACGTTGTCTGATTGAACAAATAATTGCCTCTGTGATAGAGAAAAATAACTGGCAATGTATTAGAAAACACAAATTTGAGAATGCTTTCTGTGTTTTCTGGCATTACACTTTCTGAATTTGATTGAACAAAGTGAGTCTCAAATTCTACTATAATTGGTAAAAGCTGGTGATTCTCTTCAGAATTCCCTTTACAGGGGTGCAATTGATGACTAGGGAAGTGAGACACATCTGTACTTTGTTGCATGCACAAGAATCTCCCTTTTGATTCATGGCAGTGTCAGTAACTAAAGGGAAAGGATCATGAGGATTTTAAAACATGTCTCCATATTCTCCATTTCCTGCTCTGCTATCTCAGCCCAGTCTATTCATCACCTCTACTGCTGGCTTGAAGAGCATGGTTGCCAAGGTTAACTGAATGATTCAGAGAAGAGTTTCATTCTGCTATTCAGAAGTTGTTAAAATAGACTCAATTCATGATGATTTAACAGATATCACAGTTATCAAACATTTCCCTTTGACTCCAGTGGGAGTCACAGCTCAGCAGCCTTTTGAAAGCCTGGTGCAACTTGCACAAGGGGCTGATGATGAGCACAACAGAAGAAACTCAGGCAGTTTTCCCAAAGGTGATTCCTTGGTCAAAGAACTGACCAGCTGGAACATGGCACTCAGAGGAATGTGAATTTAGGTGTAGACAGGGGAGACGATCAGTTCATGTTGGGAAAATCCTGATTTTATATAGAAAGATGTAGAGAGATTTAGGGAAGGCAAAGTTGGAGGAATTAAGGTTAGGGAGTCATACTCACTCCAGAGTGTCATTCCTGAAAGGATAGAGGTATTCTCCATCACCTGTGTCACACAGAGGGCCCCCAATCAGCCCCAGTGAGGAGATGACCACACAGTATGCTCCTCCGGCAAATCCCAGCACAGCCAGGACCACTGACAGCAGCATCTGAAAGGGAAAAGACCATCAGCATTGCATGCACAGAGGCTTGAGTAGCATGGAAAGCTTACACCGAACAGGAAGGAATTATCTTTGTCTGTTTCTTATTGTATGCTGAAACCCATAGTAACAGCATGATATCTGTGGGAATAAAAATCAGTTGACTTTATCGGACTGTGCAGCTGTCCTAGATGTGAAAGGATTTCAGACTGTATTTGCTTTGCTCTGAAAAGTGGGTAAGCCCAGAGCTTTACTTGTCCAGAGATCTATATTTGACCCATCAGTTATGAAAAATATGGTGGGACATCTTTCAAAAAGCCAGTAATAAGCCAGTACTGGCTTGATGTCATCCATATCATGTGCCTTGACACTTCCATCTCTTGACCAAGAGCACCTTTCTCATCTCTTGTACCAACAGAAACTGGCAAGCAGCTACTGAACCAGGTATGAAAGCGACAGAAGGTACATTAGTGCTTTGGCTAATTGATGAGGAATGCAAAAAAAAGCCTTTTTTTATTGCTGCTTTTTTAAATTTTGCAACAGCCTGATGTGGCTGCCACTGCTTGTGTTGAGAAACCTGATTTTGCTGCATGTGGCAACCATCAGTGACTTCGAATTACATGTAATGCACTTACACTTTTTACATTGGCCACTCCCAAGGAAATGTTACCTTTACTCAGTTTTGGGGCAGTTTTCTGTTAATGGATAGATTGTACCTCATTGATGTTTGTAATATAGCAACAAGAATATCAGGAGGGTGCTACTGGTGGTGTATCTGGGACAGGCTTCCCACTAGGCTTGTTGAGAGTCACTGCTTGTGGTTGTTCACAACTCTGCCAAGAAGGAAAAAAGAGGGAAAACTCTGGAGGAGACTGACAGAGCCAAAGGAAGGCTTGGACTGGGGTAAGGAGGTGAGACTGCCTCGGAGTCAGGGCAGAGGCACAGCTGAGGAAGCACACTGGAAACACTCCCATCCATGACTTGGGTTTGAAGCCAAATACCGCAGGCCTCATATTTCCCTACTGCCAGCAAATACCAGTGGAATTTAACAGCCCACAAGGAAGATAGAAACCTTCTCCTACTGACAGCAGCCCCACAGAGCTCTGCAATAGAGAGTCAAATGGAAATATCCACCATCCATGTTATACATTTGTGGCACAGTCTTGAATTCACTGCCTAAACACGTTCAAACTAGTGCACGCAGTTTCCAACTTGTGAGCTGATGACTGCTTTCTGTAAAGCTTTGTGTGCTGCTGGTGTGTGAATTGACTCATTTTTGAGTGTTGTTTGTGTGTTGTTTTGCCTTTAAAGCAATGCCTGAGTTAGAAGCTGCTGTGATTTCTCATGAGATTTATTTAATCATTACTGATTAATAACTCAGTCTGTTTTTTTGCAAAGGTGGGTGCTCTTTTTGTCTTTATCAGTATGCTGGCTGGGTTGCCTCTTAGCAAGGCTTCAGTGTCAGCAAATGTAGGTAATTTAGTATGTCTTGGACCAGAGCAGTGCCTGGGTTATAGCTGATGCACTGTCTCTCATAATAAGATCACCAGCCATCCCTTGCAGTGAAGGTGAGTGACTGATACTCTGTCTGAAACTGCTACCTGTGCTGAACCCCTCCTCATCTGTTTTCTTGTTTATTTCAACCATGCATTCTGCATCTTGGTTGAACGATCTTAATTATGCTAAAGCCTAGTTTTAGCACAGCATAGCAGTATGGGGCATCCCAAACGTAATTATGATAGCAAAAGTCAAACGGTCATTTGCTATTACTATGTTTTATGACAGTGATTAGTGCTAGTAGCACTTGTCAGTGTTATCTTTGATGACTGTTCTCTGACACACAATCCTCTCATCTGAAATCTGTTGGCTGTATGACTAACTTCATGTCATCTATTTCCCTTACTGTGCATACAGTCACATAGACAAGGACTCTACTGTCTGAAGCTGCTGCAGCTGTTAGATTGCCTCAGCATTTTCTACATGTGCAGTTGTATTTCCCCATTATATCTACCATTCTGTAGACTTTTCTGAAGGCTTGCCCCATAATCTGTGGAAATACAAGAATTTTGTTAACTGTTTCCTCATCTCACCCTTTCAGCATTTTCCTGGTGAGCTGAGGAAGACTTTTAGCATTTATTCTTTGAGCATTTGCATCAGCTGCATTGGTGAAGTTACCAAGCTCATCCTGTCCCAGCTTAGGCTGCTCTTTATTGCTTATTATATTTCTTGTTTCATGCACATTTCTTCTCTATTTCTTTCTCTCTTCTTGTTTGGGTTTTTTTTTTTTTTTGGTGGAATTAGCATTCTGTCTGGTTATGCAGATATCTTTATTTAAGTTTCTTTGTCTGCAAAGCTGCTATGGCTATCTTGTTCTACCAATAACTCTAAAGGAAGGCTTAAAGTCAAATATCAGAGTATGTTTGCAGATGCAATGGCAGAAGCTGCATTTTGTGGGGCCTTTTTTCCATATTGTGCCAGCGCAGTGGATGCTTTCAGATATGCTCATGCTAAGACATGGACGTTTTGTAAATCTGTTAACTTTCCAAACTCATTACTTCCATTATGCAAGGACAAGAAGCCATCTAGGTATGCTTGAAGGCAACAATTTGAAATGAATTAATGAAAAAACTTACTCAATGCAGCACATAATCACTGGGAACTGTAGAATTCAATAAAGAGAATAAAAAGGATGAGAAATATAACAATTATTACTCCTATTGTTGATACTTCAGCAGAAGGTAAAGGTCTTGATGAAGTCTGAAGCTATTAAGCCAGGAATTGTTCAAAATATAATAGGATTGAGTCCCTACCCTGAGGAAAATGGTAATGTTCTGATTGAATAATAATTCTGACCGGTATTAGTTCTTTAGAGTGTATTTTTTTTGTTGCTCCTACAAAAAAACAATGCTGAGTATTCAGTATAAATAGTCATTTTATACCTAAGGTTCCAAAAGCAGAACAGTGGCCAAACAGACCTTTGGATTACAGAGGCTCCCGGGTAGCTCCAGTATGGGTTAGTTCCCTGACAATAGCTGGAAGCTGATGGACACACCACCAAGAGCCTGGTGACTCACACCGTACAAACCCTGCCTTGGGTATGCAGCCTATAGTCAGGGTATGTGAGCAACCCTGCTGTGGGTGTCTACATTTCTTCCCACTATCCTCAAAGCAACATTTCCTGAGGTTTCTCCTCCTGAAGAAGCACATCCTTGGCCTTCAGATTTCCCTGCAATGCTCACCCCTTTTTGCATGCCTGGAAATCACCCTTCCCCAGGAGCCATGCAGGGGAAACTATTGTTTTTAATACCATTCATAACCACTAGCTCTTTGCTCATGTCCCCATCTCATCTCTACCTTGAGCCACGTTCTGTTTAAAACAGTGTGACTTGTAAAGCTTCACCCCTTTCCACCTCAAAGAAGTGGGCAATTCCCACAGTCCCAGAAGACAGCATTTTCAAAGATACACTGTCCCCCGCTAAGCCTGTTCTCTAGTAGTACTACCCTATTATTGAATAGTAGTAGAGACTTGGCTCTTGAGTATCTTCATCACCTGGCCATCAGCTAACTATCTTTATACAAATATCATAGCACATAGTCATAGAATCACAGAATAATAGAATGATATAATCATAGAATCACAGAATGGTTTGGGTTGGAAAGGACCTTACAGCTCATCTCGTTACGACCCCCCTTCCATGGGTAGGGACACCTTGCACTAGACCAGGTTGCTCAAAGCCCCATCTAATAATCAAACTACCTTCTCAACAATGTCTATTGCATTCCTCTATAACAGCAAACAAAGAAGAGCTAATAAGTAACCCATCAGTGATGAGAAGGTGCAGACACGATCCTTGGTACCTGTGTGCTGCTTCCAGGAATGGCTTAGACAGTCAAAGGCTGGTGGATGTGAATGAGGGAGAGTGGGGGTTCTGTGGATGCGGGCTGCTGGACAGCATGGTGCTACCACCTGCATTAGTAGGCTGGGGGAGTGAACCCAGCCAGTCTGGGGACATTTGACTCTTGGCTCTGTAATATTTAGTGCTAGGATGAAAGACAGAGAAGGGAGAACTGAGATGCCGTACAGACTGAGCCCAGTTCAGCTGGATTCCCCCTCTTGACTTACCACATTCAGCAGTATGGGAACACCCACATTATGGCTGTTTTCACCATAGTATGGCTGTTTTCACCACCACTTTCTACCTCACTCAGAATGAGATGCAGCTGGCTCAGGCACTGGGTTCAGGGTGCCTAGATTCAACCCCAGCTCTGCAACTGCCGACTTGGGCATTGTCAGCATCATTTTTGTGCATGTGACATTGGGTAAAATCAATGCAATGGCATGTCCCTTGGGATGTACTTGTTGACATTAATGAAAGATGTTATTCTGGCATTATGAATAATGAATTACTTAAGTAAAACATCTTGAAGAGGTAAAGGCCTTCTTATGGATGAAACTAAATATTAATTGAAGAGTACAGAAGAGACACGATTTGTCGTCTGGAATCTCTCATTCCAGGCTGCTTCTGGGAAGGATGCAGACTAAAAATGGCATTTCTAAATCAAATTATTTTGCTAATAATGATAACCACACAGAAATCTATGCCCAGGGCATGAGGATTAATGGAGATGCCTGTGTATGTCATGTTGCTTTATAATAATTATCAAGTGGAAAATTCTCTCTGTCTTTTCTCTGGATGGCAAAGAGCCCAAATTGCATTTGCACCTTTCATGTGCATAATGCTTGGAAAGATGTGTGCTACAGGTCAGAGCTGCAGGAAGCAGCGCTGGCTTCTTGGTGCCATCCACAACAGCTCAGGCTTTAAGCATGGGCCTGCAAAGCAGGGGACCTATCTGCCCCTACAGAGGCAAATACGGATGCACCTGTGGAAAAACAAATTGCCATGGAAGGGTACTGTGAAATAGAATCAATTGGAAGGAGAAAGAACAGGCAGCTGTCTCAATCTTTAGGGTTGCCTCAAGCAGGAGGAAGCTGGAGCCAGATTTTACTTGATGTAGGGCGAAGTAGAGAAGCTTTGTACCCCTCTGCCCTCAGCACTGTGCATAAATGCTCCAGGACTTGCCCCAGCTGAGTACGCTACCCTTCCTATCAGTGGCTATCATAACATTCTTGTTGGCTAACTGAGCTCTCAGCCCCAGCCCAGGGACGCTGTAGATCAAGCTCCTCTTCTGCATTTCCCTGACATGGCTGTTGATAGTGGTGCCATGGTTTGTCATTGTACATTTCCACCTGCTGAGCAGCCACTTAAGAGCTGTTGCACAAACCCCATAGTGCCATTTCAACACTTAAATATCCACTTACCCCACATCTGTTAGCGCAACATCCTGCTCCGCCTGCTCCTAGCATCATGAATGCTGGTAAAATAACCTGTGAGAAAAGAACAAGCTGAATCGGCGTGCAGTATTTCTGCTGGGATGCGTTTTAAAGTCTAGGAGCTGGGGCATCATGTTCCTCAAATGCAAACCTCCTTCTGCCTCTTCTCTGTGAGTTACACTTGCTTAGACGTTGGTGCTTGCTGAAGAGAAACTAACTTACATCTAGAGCTGGCTGTCAAGTTTCTGGTACAGTGATTCTGATCGCTGAAGCTATACTTTTTTTCAGCAGGGTTTTGTTGTTTCTTTTTCAGGAATAAATGTGTTAGTTTTGAGAAAATGGAATTTCTGTTCAGAAAAGATGCATCGGTGAAGTAAGAACTATGTCAATTTAAGTCTTCTGAGCACCCTGCTCTGCATTGCCATTGAGAAATCAGTCTTAAACTTCCTAAAACACATCTGGCTTTGGGTCTTTATGCTAAGCTTCTGGAAAACCTACAGAATGGACTTCTCTAAACAGGGAACTCCCAGTTAACATCAGCTTTCTCCATGGTAATTATCAGGTTGAGCTGGACTGATATAATGAAGTCAGTAACCATCTGTGTCTCAGGATATAATGTCACCTTACAGAAGCATTCTGGAGATAGGAAAAGCTGCATTTAGTTTGGTAGCTAGAGGGCAAGAAAGCTTTTGTGGGTTTAGCTGTGCTGTGCAACCAGACCATTCCTGCTGCCTTGCCTCTGCCCACCACTGCTTGTGTAGGCATTTCAAAGAGCAACGCAAGACAAATGTGTATTTGAGAAAGTAGGACACGGTCCCTACAAAATTAATGAAAGAAGAAGCAACCAAACAAATGAACAAATAAGTTAAAAGCTGTACAAGCAGCCTGACTAGATGCTGGACAGATGTTGTTGCATGTAGGGCAGGGAGAGCACAGTGTCCATGGTGAATGAAGCCGAGGGAATTTATACATGTAGTGACTATCACCTTTAGACTGTGTAGGATAGTGCCATGAAATCTGCTTAGATTTGCAGACCCCATGGTATGTTTCAAAGGATGTACTCTCTGTTGCCTTTTATACACACCCCAGGGGCAGCCGCCGGCACCTGCAGTGGCCGCTGGACCACAGATGGAGACCTGCAGATGTAGATCATGGAGGTTAAAAAGACATTCCTCTTCCTGGAAAGAAATGAGCTCCAGAATAACCAGAGGTGGTCCCCAAGGCAGCCTCAGCCCCAGCATGCTGCTGTCTGACATTCAGGAGAGCTAATACCTCTGCTTATCAAACCAACACTCCCTGTCCTCCAGGGCTATCTTTCTTCTTTGGAGGTTTCCCATCTAGGCTGTGAACAGCTTTGTATCATCCGTTAGCCTGGCTCAGGATGAAGGGTTTTCTTAGCAGCCTGATTCTAAATACCCGCCTTTTGACATGGGAATGAGAATTTGCTAGATTTGGCTGGGAGTAAAATGAGGGCTATGCATGAGCTGTTGCTCAGTCAGGCATTTTCCAGTGTTGCGCTTTGGATTCCATTAGGAAAAGTGTTCCTATGACACACAGAGCGAGTCTTTACACCCTAAGCTTTTGAAATAAGGAAACGGAAAGGTTTTCACGTCATACAAAGTTCCATTAGGGAAGCAGCAGAGGAGGAGGAAAGGGTGGGGCTGGCTGCTCAGCCAAAAGTGAGCTGATCATCCAGGCTTTATCTGTCTTGAGATGAACTCCCATGTGGAGGCAGCTTTGCTCACTCATAGAGCAGGTCAGGCTGTTATGAAGTTTCCTCCACAGCCCTGTGTCCTGGTTACAGGGAGATCCTCCAAGGTTGGGCAACCTTTTCATGACTTCCTGAGTTTCCTTTGGGGAGAAGCTGAGTGCATGGGGGAACACACTGCAGCCTGCTCTGTTCAGACTGTGGAGTCAGGATACAGATCAAGCTCCAGTCATGGAGCCTGGCTTAGCTCCCTAGGAGGCCTGAAAGCCAACATTCATTTTCTCATGCTTCCAGCACCTGAAAATGGAGCTGACGGTAATGCTTTCTTTTGCATTCTCTTCACCTGTGGGCATTTGTCATGCTGTTTTCTGGGAAACACGCACACTCAACAGCATTGTTTGTGGATCAATAATTACTCCTCGTGCTGTGTTTTGAAGATCAATGCAAATGCAAATTTTGCCTCCTCCCCTCTCACTTGCTGTTCTCATTTTTGATGTATGCAGTGGTGGCCACAGGCAAGTCTGTGAGAAAGCCTTAAAAGAAGGCATGTTTTCAATGAGCCTGTGATGCTGTCATGCCTAACATCTGCCTTTCCTTTCATTGAACGCCAATGACTCCTGGGCTTGCAGTGATATGAATTTTCCACAGGTCTCTCCTGTAGTTCCACTTGTTGCTTTAGGCTTCCTTCACAAACTGATGCTTACGTTCAAGCTCAGAATGAGTAATAGGCCTAAGTGGTAGCTGGAAGATGAAGTAGGCAAGCTGCTGGTGAAGAAGGATTTATACCATGTTTCTGCTTTGGGAAATAAGACTCTGAACCACAACCACTGTACCTTTTACATAGACTTAAGAGGCAGCTGCATCATAGCCTGGTTGTGAATGAGATTTCCTTTTTTCTAAGCTAATTATTCTGAAACACTCTGTGCAGGTAGCCAGCTCTGTGCTGGTGTACCATCTGCCTGGGTGCGGAACAGCCAGTACTTGTCATAGGCATGTTACTCACTCAGCTTCTTGTCTGACTTGGGTGGGTAATTGGAAGAGCATAAGGGGAGCAGGCTTTCTAATGAACTGGAAAGGTCAGTATTCCCAAACATGTTCCATTCTAGTTATGGATATTCACATAAAAGCCATCTTTCCTAAGCAGTGGGATGGAGAACTGGTTGCAGAAGACCACAAATAAACCAGATCAAACCCAAAAGGAGTTGAGTGGGTGTGTGGGAACATGGGAGGCATTTGGGATTTAGGACATTTGCAGCTCCACATTTGTTGTGTTGACTAGGTCTCTAACAAACACCTACTGAAACATGCTTCAGTTTTGCCCTTAGTGGTTTTCTTGTGATTTAAGTGAGCATAGAATCAGTTAGAGGAGTAATGTGAGGTGCAGGCAACAGTTAACATTCCCCACATCCAGCTGAGTTTAGGACCTCAGTTTTGCTTTGACTCATGGAGGATGAACACCCATGTCACCCTTCTCCACAGTGGGAAGTAAGTCTGATTGCTTCCTCCTGACTTCGAGTCTTCGTATTTATTTCAGGAATACCTCAGATCCCTGTAATTAGAGACTTTTTCAGTCTTGAATGAACTTTATGAGTCCTGTACACAACTTCCCAGTTAAGATGGCCACATGTTTATGCAAAACAGGTTTCTATGACTTTTTTTTTTTGTTATACTTACCCTTGAATTTAAACAAAACCCAACCAAACCCATAAGAAACAGTAGCAACAATTCTCTCTTACCAGTATCCCAGCTCCCAGAATGCCATGGAAAAACCAGACCAGATCAGTTATCTCACTGAGCTGCAGAACTTGTCCATTGGGGAAATACAGGAGGATGTTGCAGACTATGGCACAGGCTGCCAGTGGGAACAGGGTGATCCCAATGCACTTCGAACACTTCCCTGTGCACATGGTAGCTCTCTGCTGAGGAAAGATGCAGAGAGGTTTGGGTTACTGCATCACAGAGAACACGGGGTTTCAGCAGTTTTCTTCTTTCATGAAAGAAGGATCAGTTTTGAAGCAAGAAATGTTCCAGTTAAGGCACAGATAACCCTGTTCTACAGAGCCTGTTCCCTTCAGAGATGTTATTTAAAATGGAATTATTAAAAACTGGAATGTTTAATTGAATTTATTCAAATTTGCCAGGACTAAACACATGTTGGCATGAAATGGAGTTTTGTTTTAATTGTTAATGGACAACTGGGAGACTCAGTAACAAAACCATGGCTGCACAAACTGACACCCTGGCTAGCAGACTTCATGGTGGGGCTAAGAATGGAAGGGGAGGTGGATGCACCAAGTTATCTAGGACCACTGCCTTAGGAACCTGATTTGATATCATCTCTTGCACTGAAGGTCTAGAAAAGCAGGAGATGACTGCCAGGAATGCCATAAAAATGTTCAAACTTGCCTTGCTACTGGAGCAGCATGAGGAGCCTTACCAGGGCCCCACCAGCTGCATTTTCTCTATTTCAGTCAAAAATACACTGTCAGCAAGACCTGGAGAAACTTCCATTACTGTTTCCTATGACATGCTAACTCTGCACATAAGGGTAGATAAGACTGTTGGTTATGTGACTGTTTGGCACCCACCCTCAAATATCTGAAAAACTGGAAACATGTCCAATCCTATTTGCTAAGGGCAGGTCACGAAGCCATCCAAACCCATTTTCAGAGATCTGCCATAATGTATAGAACAGCAGGTTGTTATTTAACAGCAGTAAGGTTCTTTTAAAATCAAGGAATCAACATAAATAATCGATCATTGGAAGAGATCTCCAGTCCTATCTCCTGCTGAAAGCAGGACTACTGCCAACACTAGGTCACTGTGCCAGCCATGGCTTTGCGTAGCTGAGCTTTGAAACCCCCCAAGGATGGAGCTAATAACACCCCTCTGGGTGATCTGTTGCAGAGCCACCTCAGCCTCCTGGTGAAAAAGTCTTTCCTCATGTCCAATCTGAATCTTCCAAGCTGTAAACATGGCTGTTGCTCCCATGCTCTTCCACCACTCCATCACCTCTGTCACTCCCTTACAAGTTTGTTGCAGGCTGCTATTAGAACCCTCTTCACCAAAGTGAGCAACCTCAGCTCATACTGCACCTACACTGTGACCTATAGCCAAAGAGAAAAGGCTGATGTGTACAAAAGTGGATCCACAGCTATTTCTTCATGTCAGGATGGAAACTGCAGACTACTAGGTCAGAGATCATTGAACTTTAGACTGTCACTGACTTTATAGCACAAACTGATCACAACTTCTTCATGATGTTTTATCATAGTAAAAACCTCACTCCAGCTCAAGGCTTTCAAATGCATAAAAATACCAAATATCAATCTGTGCATTTCTGTTCTCATAGAAAGCTGACAGTTTATGACATAGAGGCTTTGCTTTCCTGTGAGCAAGATAGAAAATATAAGAGAAGGAAGATGATCTGGACACACACCATTTCAGAACACACATACACATGCAGCCATGCACGCACAAATACCTACTCTTGCTACATGGAAGCACGTTTTGTAATAACCAAGGCAGTAGAGAGCAAAATGTCCCTCAATTTAGTCATGTGCATTGGCTAATCCTGGAAGTTTTGTGGCAGAAGTTGGTGTTGAAAAGGTATTAAGCAGGCTGGGAGTATAGGAATCAATCAAGGCTGGGTTCCCAAGCAGAATAGCCCAGGTGAAAGACAGCATGAAGACATTTGAGAAAGTCAGAGGCAGGCTGAAACCAGCTTCATTGACAGAACAAAGACAGCAAGAGGTGTGGTAAGTCATGAAGACAGACCATTGTCCTCAGACCTCTGTAACTCAGAGGGAAAGCAGAAGGACTTTATGGGATGCAGTATATTGTTGTAAGGTAGCTGAGACTGCCAAAGACTTCTGAGTTTGCTCTTCTATAGCAAAAAGTTTGCATTGTTCTCTGCTGCTGCAGGTTTAATAACAGCACTGTGCTTAGATGGCTATTTTTTTTTTTCCTGAGCACTTTACAATCACATCATGCTTTTTAATCCAGCTTTAAAGCAAGTTAGCTGGCATGAAACTATTCCAGAAGGGAACATTTTTAACAGAGATGCTTCTTGGTTTATGGTCATTACCTATTGTTTATAGTGCTCAAAACTGGGTAGGGCATTTTGCAAGGCACTGGAAAAAGCCCCAGTTCAAACAGATAATAATCTAAGCAGATCAACAATGTGCAATGGAAAGATGAAGCAGGGAAGGAGTGCAGAAGTGGAAAGAATATTGGATCTTTCACCCATCTTCCTCTCAGGTACCCAATGCATTTGTTAATGTTTTACACTGACTTTTGCCTGTTTGCTTTCCTGTCTCATTCCAGCTTTTGCTTTTCCGTGTGCTTGCCCAATCTCACCTACTTCCCCTCCCCAGAGAGAAGCAAACAAGCACAGGCACAGCCTGGCCTCCTTCTGTAAAAGCTGTCTTGTAGGCGAGTTATAAACTCTCCTCTGCATCTTTCATACATAGCCAGAGGGCTTGGTTCTTGCCTGGTGCAAAGCAACGTGACACAGCTTAGGCTGGAAGAACAGGGGTTTACAGCCCATTCTCTCTGACCTATCTCAATGCCACTTCAAACTGCAAGGAGAACTTAACTAAACATCAATCACCAGACTCAGTGAGAGCCTCGACCAGCACAATCAATGCTGCTTTGCTACCTGTGTACATCAGAGGATCCGACTGTTATTACAACTTAGGAAAACACTCTGGGTTGCCACAAGCACTCAATGCACTTTATTAATTCAGCAAACAAAAGCACCTTGTACAGCTTCGCTAAGCAAGGTGTTCAGAGAAAGCTTCTAACTTTTAACTAGAGTTTTAGAAATATTTGCTTTTTAATGCTTAGGGAAGTATATAAATATCTTTGCTTACCTTCTACACGGGTCTAAGTTGGCCTCGAAGCTCCAGTTCCCAGCAGCTGGCTTCAGGCTTTCCAGCTCTTCTCTCCTGAAGCACAGCAGTCTGAGGGAGGCACAGAGATGTTTTCGAGCGATGGCCTCTTTTAAACAAATAGCTGTTGCTCTTCAGAGAATTAGGAAATACCCCACGTTATCCCTGGTTGGCCAGCGGGAGGTTGGCGTGCCACCCAGTGCTATCGATTACTTTCAGGCAGTGTTCCAGTGGTCAATGCCTCGGCCCCCCAGGACACACAGCTCGGAGCAGTGGAGACCTTTTTACTGCTGCAATCATTTCAGCTGTGCAGCTTGGCAGAAGAGGAAGGGCAGGAGATGGCAGTGGTGCAAGGGGTTGAAACATGAGGTGGTGGCATGGCAAAGCCATTGGTGTGGCATCATCTGCACAATGGGGTTGTGGCTGTTAAAGTTCAAAAAGCATGGGAGCACTGAGTGAGGTGAGTGGGGAGGAAGGGAGGGAAAGAAAATTCTTAGTAAGACAGTGGTAAAAGAGAGAGAAGGGCAGAATGGCTGGAGAGAAGGGAGAGGTGTGACCAAGGGAGGAAGCATGGAAAGAAAAACACAGCTCCAAGGAGGAGAGAGTAGGAAGACGGAAGGGAAATGAAGACTCGCTCTAGCAGAGAAGAAGAGAGATAGAAGAGGCACTAAGGATGGGCCAAGAAATTAAAAATACAATGAAGTGTATGAAGAAACATTAAAATTAAACTGAGAGTTGACTCCTACTGAGGAAAAAGGGACTTTCTTTTGTAGAAAATGTGATAGTAATAACCATAGAAATATGTTCAAACACAAAACCATATAAACGTATCTAGGTTAGATTTGTCCCAAATCATGCTGGGAATATGCTCAGATCCTTGCCAGATCAACTGAAAACTTAACCCCCTCTGGAAGGCTCCTTCTGTTGCCTTGTTCTAAACATCCAGAAGGAAGGATGACTTGACCACAAAAACATTAATGAAAGGGACATGTGAGTGAATGCGAAGATGTAAAATATTCCACTCTCCACCTTGCCATGTCACATTTTCAGTCTTTAATGTCACTACAAAAGATTGGTTGTATAGCCATGGGTACATGACTTCGGATGTCCATGAGGTAGATATAAGCCTAGGTTTCATTTGTTTCTAGTGAGTGAAATGAACAGTTTATTAGTGTTAGTATTAGTGTTAAACACAATTTTCTTAATGCTTCAAGAATATCTTTAGAATTGCTCATTACTGAGTAGGATCTATATCCAGTCTTCGATGAGGTCTGAATTAAAAGCTGCTTATTGTGAGGTACAGAAGGAATGCCAGAAAGAAGAGCAAAATGAAAGTCTGTATTAACACCCCAGGGCCTGACAAACACTTGTTTTCCTGATGTGATAGATAAATCCTAAAGAAATGGGAAAAAAACCCAGAACACCCCAAACCAAAACCAAAAACCTTAGCTCCAAACCACTTAGAAACCCTGAATTTTGTCTGTGAAGTGTTCAGTAGCTAAGCTGAGTTTATGTGATTGTGTACATCTATTTTTCCCTCTGCAATATTGACTTTGAAGGCAATGCAAGCATTTTGTGTTCCACTCGTCAATGCCTCCTGATTATATTGACTTACTGTACATCAGTTCTTGTCCTCCTTTTATCTCTATCCTTGTAGCCATAAACTCTTTATTAATTTTCTAGTTGCACATAGTAGCAGGGGTACTGAGAATAGAAATACAAATATGTGAAAAATCCTGTTCATCGTGCTAGAAATGAAAACTATTCCAGCCCTACAACTTCCCCTGGTAGTGCAATATGTGAGTTAGAGGCTGAAGAATTAGAGCACCGTGCAGGTTTCTGAAGGGCATATCTGACTGCCCACTTACTCTATTAATAGATCTGCCCCATTTGGAGGGCAACTGCAGTGTACTAAGAAGAAAATGCCCTTTTTGCTGTTGATACACTGTGTAAAAGGAGCCAGGCAGCTCTGCTCTCATTTATTCTAGTATAAATCTTACGTTGTTCCTCTGAAGTCAAAACTTTACTCAAATACACAGTGACACTCCATCCAATTTAATGTATTCCATGTTGGCACCATGACACGAATTACCTCTTGCTGCTGTTTCCTGTGACTGTTTGCTATTAATGTTTTCTTCAGCTGAGAGAAAGGGAGGGCAATTCTCTTAAGAAAGAATCATGAAGCAGTCTGCTGTTATGAGCCTTTTTCTGAGATGTGCTGCCTCTGGGAAGGCTCATGAGCTTGGGCATTGCAGACAACCTGCCTTGGAGCCCCAGCTGGCTCTCCCTGCAACAGGTACCCAGGTTAACATGCCTACCTGTATCCAGGAGTGAGCAGATGCCCTGTTAAGGTATAAACATCAAGGTGGAAATGGTAGTATCAGTGTTATTTAGGTTTTCCTTTATCCAGAGTATCGCAGACCCTTACAATGCCAGCCAACAGAAAGCTGGTTGCAAGGCAAGAGCTCCCAGGAAGATGAGGAGCAGATTTAGGCAAATCAGACTTGACTCAGATCAGAGATAGCCATAAAAAGCAACACTGAATAGTTGAGTGGTGCAGGTTATGGTACTTGTATTAAGACCATATATGAGTCTGAAGAGTTGGAATGGAAGTTGTACTGGACTTCATTTGGGAGTATATTCACTGCATGGTACTATCTCATGTGGATGGCCCTAGCACACAGAATATGCTGACATGCACTTCACAGCTTAAATGTCACATACATGGATCTTTCCTTCCTTCAATTTTACCTATTTTCCCAATTATTTTTCCTCTCCCTTTTCCCTTGTCTCTCCTTTTGGTGCATAACCCTCTTTCCTAGATACATAGACTGTCTCCTCTCTGAGATGGCATCCTGCTGAGAACAGGTTTCGCCCTCTATGGCAGCACACACATCATTGTCTCTGGGGACACTAGTGCCACTAACCAGGAGACATCCCTTGGGGGATAACCCCCTTGGTTATCAGTGACTCTGTGAACCTGGGGCATCCTGGTTTAGTGCAAGGTGTCCCTGTCCGTGGCAAGGGGGTTGGAACTAGATGATCTTAGGGCCCTTTCCAACACTAACTATTCTATGATTCTATCCCAAGGCTCACAGCCAATGCTCTGCAGAATCACCTTCTGAGATGAGGGGGAATGGTGCTGAAATAACACCCAGTGAGCTCTGCCCATCCAGCAAAGTATTTTCCATTGCTTGTGTGTATGTACATCCACCTGATGTATTGCAAAGCTCATTTTATTTCATTAACTGAGTGTTTTGTCCAGGGACAGCACTGTGCCAGCCCCACTGTTTTCTAAGATGTCAGTGAACCATGACCTGTGGCCAAAGGTTGTTTGTGTTCCCAACACAGAACACTGTCACTATCCAATATTAAAATAATTAGAGGTTTGTGTTTCATTTTGCTGGTTTCGTGCAACACTTCTGTCTGGTTTTGGCTGAAAGGCATTTCCCATCCCTGTGTTTTGTCACTGGGGTTTGTCCAAGTATGTGCTCGGGGTGCAGGTGAATTAGGAGCTAACAACAATACCCAGTGGAAAATGTCCCTGCTTACCTGACCAAAAGGGAGAACTGTTATTTCTTCTGGTGCTCCTTATTATCCTGTCCTAACCTGCCCTGAACTGCCCTGGGTCTCTCAGGAAGCCAGGAAGAGAGTAATGAAGAACGAATGCTGGAAATATACTGAAAACCAGAGATTTCATAAAAAATGGTTCATTGCATTTTTTAGAGCTGTTTGACACTGCCAGAAGGGAAGGTTTCTGTGGTCCAGGGTGGTGGTTTTGGTCAGACTGGGGGATGTGTGGCTGCGTCAGATACCCTGTGAGAGACTGAAAACTATGCAAGGCTGAGGCACATGGAGCAGCAGCTCCCACTAGAATGAGAGAGGAGGGCAAGAGCTAAGAGGTTAGAAGCAATCACTGTGCTTTGTTATTGCAGAGCACGCTGTCCTTTCATTAACCAGCCCTGGATGGATTTGTGCCAGAAGAAGAACAAAAGGAACATCAATACTGGTTGTATGTGCGTAGCTGTTGTGTTCCAAACATGTACATGAGGCAAGGTTTTTAGTCAGGATTATTGCTTGCTACTAAAAGTACTTCCTCCTTACTTTGCCTGTATCAGAGAAACTGATACATGGGAAAAACTGAATAAGCCTTTGAAAATACATCCAGTCCTCAGGTCCTAAGGTTTATTACCAGCTAATGATGGCTGGTTGAAGAAAGGACAATCCATCCCCTGGCTGACCCCGAAGTTGTTAGTTTGGGCCCACTATGGGACAGAATAGATTTTAAATCTCCATGTGTTATGTAGCAGAAGGACCCAAGGCAATTAGGACAATATTTCCCAGTGTGGGAAGTGCCTTTGGAAATGTTTTAGCACTGCCTGGGTTTCTGAAAAGGATTGTCCATGCAATTTCACTGACAAGCACACAACCAAATTTTCCCAGAAATGAAGCAATCTCCGTCTTCAAACTGCTCATACTTTTCTGATCTTATGTCCACTGGGAGGCACCGTCAAGGCTTTTTTTGAGTGTGAGAGGATGTTGAGGAGGGTGGACTGCAGGAATCTTTGTTTGTTGCCTAAAATAAGATACCAGAAGGTCCTTTCTGAAAAGGTGTGAACTGCCTGTCTCCATCATTGGAGATATAGCATGTCCATTCTTGCAAACACTCAAAAGCTGTAAAGGGAATGGTTCTGGGCAAGTGGCCTTGCTAGAGAAGGGTCATTGGACCAGATGACCTCCAGAAGTTGTGTGGCACTGTGAACTGTGGTCCATTAGAAAGGACAGCAACACAGCACTGATGGGTTCAGACCTTTGCATTGAGCACTGTCATCACATTTGCGGCAGGGTTCCTGTAGCAGAGCTGGCTTGAGTCCACAGCTCCTCCACATCTAGTACGAGGAAGACATCAAGAAACTATACTTAAAAAGACAACAAACAGTCCAGCACACACTGCTGCCATTCCTCGGTGGTGTAATCCATTCTTTATGTCAGGGTGTGGGCATAAACTGAACTAAGGGCATGGCAGGACGTGCATTACCTACAATGACAACAGGTCTCCAGAGGCTGGAAAGGAAAACAAGAACCCAGGGAAGTGTTAGGAGGGAAGATACTGGGTGGAGACAGGATTATAAAAGAGC